AGATGTCACCCCTGTACATGTCCATTTTGTATTCTCCATCGATTTGTCCATTGACGAATGAGCGATGACAAAGAAGCACAAGCACAACCACAACCACAACCACAGCTTGCTCTTTCTGTTGTAGCAGGAAATGTGTAGCAGCATAGTGGTTTATGTAAAGTGTATTTTGTAGAGAAGAAGAGAGAACAGAGGAGTGAATAAACAAAGGGATGTTCTGTTCTTTTAAGTGTTGTTTGTGATAAGATGATTGGTCGCATGGAGTTGTTGTTTGTTGAACGTGTAGGAGTTTGAGTGTCTTGTTGTTCTATGAGGATGGTTGACTGTTGACATAAGGAACAACATCCTTCTGACAGGTGGTTGTTGGTTCAAGTCCAAACACACCCCTCATGTGGTGGGTCAGTTGGTCATCCCTAGGCATTGCTGATGATGAATGAGCTTGATGTGTCCAAGTGCCTTGGTGAGAACATCAGCAGGTATATTGTCCATTGGACAGTAGGTGTAGCTAACTTGGCTGTGGGCAGTAGTATTATAAAGGTGAGCAATCTTGATGTTGTAGTGCTTCATTCATCTGTGGTAGGTACCAGACAAGGTGTTGATGATGGCCAACACACTCTGGTTGTCATTGAAGATTGAGAGCAGTTGATGGGTGGTAAATGGGGGGGAGACTGGTAATCATCTCCATCTACATCAACAACTGCCTGATCATTGCCCACTCTGATGACATTGATGCTGTGAAGGGGACTCTCTCTGACAAATTCACCATGAAGGACTCAGCACCACAACATCCATCTTGGGTGTCAAGTCCAAAGGTGGCAAGGATGTTGTTGATCTTGCCATGCTGGTGGATGTAGAGCTTGCCAGCTTGACAGTTGTGATGGATCTTGATGCCAAGAACCAAGGTAGCTTCACCAAGGTCCTTGATGGGGAAGCCGTCAGCAATGAGCTGCTTGACACCCCTAAGTTTGGACTGGTGGGTGATGATGGTGCAGTTGTTAATGTAGAGTGTGATGATGGCTAGGTGATGACCTTGATGAATGTAGATGCACAGATCTGAGTTGGTGGGTTCAAAGTGAGACTTGCACAGATGAGTGTCAATGGCACAATTCCACTCAAGAGGCACTTGCTTGAGCCCATAGAGGCTCTGCAGCAGGCATCTGACATGATTGGGTTGTTGTTGGTTGATGAACCCTTTGGGTTGAGTGATGTAGATCTCTTTGGTGAGCTTGGTGTGGAGAAAGGCTGTGTTGACATTGACTTGGTGGATTTGAGGTTGTGCACGTTCACAAAGGCAAGTAGTAGATGAAGATTCTCAATGCAGACAACCAGGGAGAAGGTGCTGTCATAGTCAATGCCAATGCATTGGGTGAAGCCATTGGCTACCCATCTGGCCTTGTAGTGGTCAATCAAACTGTCAGTGTGGAGCTTGACCTTGTACAGCCATCAAGTGCCAATGGGCTTGTGCCCCTGTGGTAGCAGAACCAGAGTGAAGGTTCCATTGCACATGAGGGCTTCAAATTCCTCCTGCATCACCTTCTGCCAGTGAGTGGCATCCAGCAAGGCAAGCACTTCTTTGTAGCTGTTCAGGGTGTTCAGTGCTTCTCCTGCAATGGAGGTAAGCTCTTAAAGTCAAACATTGGGCATGCACATCCATTGTGAACAACAGGTTGCATTCAAAGTGGGGTTGACCTCAATATCACCCCTCAAGCCCATATCAGATGATGGACGTAGGTTGGAGTTGTGTAGCTTGGGCATGCCATCAGAGGCAGCACATGTGCTCAGCGTGGCAGGCTTGCTGAACCAGCACTTGAATGGTGACACTGAGGAAGTGCTGTTGTGCATGTGATTGAGTATGTGGATGGCCATGTGGAGGGCTTCGCCCCAGAGCTCCTGCTTGATGCCCAATTCCGCCAGGTAGGCTCAGACCATTGTGAGAGCTGTATGGTTGAACTGTTCAGCAATGCTGTTGAGCTTGGGTGTGTGTGAGGCAACAGGCATGTGGGTGATGCCATTCACTCACAGGAGGTCTTGGAACTTTTGTCCCATGTATTTGCCTCCCTGATTGGAGCATAGGTACTGGCACTTGTGAGTGGCTGGGATGGCATGTAGGTAGTTGTTGAATGCTGATGTGAGACCAGTCTTGGCCTTGATGAGGTAGACTTGTGTGTACCTTGTGTGGTTGTTGATGAATGACATGAAGTAGTGGTGTCTGCCTGGTGTCTTGATGAGTGGTCCACAGAGGTTGGAGTGAATGAGTTTGAGCATGGCCTTGTCATGCTGGATGGGGCTGTGGCTGATAGGCACATGTGTCTGCTTGGAGTGAATGCAGACTTCACACTGGTTGAGATGGTCTCTGTGCTTGACAGACACTCCACTGCTGATGGATGCTTGAAGATGTTGTTCACAGATGTGACTGAGATGACAATGAAGGAGTTCAAGGTAGACAGGAGGTGACTTGACGGTGAGTGCATGGTTGCTGGGGGCATTGTCAATGTGTAGGGAGACTACCAGCATTTGACTGAGGTTGGCTGGGCGGAGGATAGTCTGACAACTGTGCTTGGAGAAGACTCAGCAGCCTTGGGCCAAGATCTCAATGGTGAGCCTGGCAGAGGCAAAGTGTGACATGGACAGGAGGTTGCATGCTAGGCTAGGCACATGGAGAATGTCATGTAGCTGGATTGACTGCTGTTGTCTGTTGAGGTTGACAGTGGCCTTGAAAGAACCACAGCCAATGGTGTGGATGGTATGGTTGTCTCTGAGTGCAACTGAGTGACCAGTCAGTTGTTCATAGCTGTGAAACCAGTTACAGTTTGTTGTCATGTGTGAAGTGGCACCAGAGTTGAGGTACCACAAGCTGACTCCTGGGTCAGCTGCCACCAGTGCTGACTTGGTTTTGGTGATGACCAGCGCCATGGTGTTGGGTGTGATGACTTTGTCAGCTACACTGGCTTGCTTGGCCAGTCTGTGTTGGTGGACTGCGTGTAGGTGCCCAGGACGCCAGCAGTAGTTGCAGAGAGGTCAATCACACTTCATGGATGATGGTTTCAATGAGTGCTCTGTGGTAGTGGCTGTGAGTAGTGACCACCTCTCACAGAGCAGATTGTTTGAGTAGGCAATGGTGAACAGCAACAGCTGACCTTGTTGGGCCTCCAGAGGAGTGAATAAAGAAAGGGATGTTCTGTTCTTTTAAGTGTCATTTGCAATAAGATGATTGGTCACATGGAGTTGTTGTTCATTGAACATGTAGGAGTTTGAGTGTCTTGTTGTTCTACAAGGACAAGGTCAACATAAGGAACAACATCCTTCTGACAGGTGGTCGTTGGTTCTAGTCTGAACACTTTCCTCTTTGAAGGGCTTGGGGCATCACCATATTGCGTTTATTGGTTGCAAGGTCAAGGCACTCAGTTCTTGGCGTAGTATTGGGTGATGAACTCTTTGAAGGTGCCCTTGGGCGGGGCAAGAGCAAGCATCTCTGGGGAGGCGACCGCATGCGCGCGATCTCCTTTGCCCTGCCTGAGGAAGGTGATCGGGGGAAGCAGGCTCTTTGGGTTGATCGGGGAGCCTGTCGCTTTTGTGAACTCGTCGACCGTGAGCGTTCCGCCAAACGTAACGTCTGCCTGAAGCACTTCCCTGAGAGCCTCGCCAATGCTGAGAGAGATGGGTACAGAGGGTCAGATCACTGTGTCCAATCCTTCTTGTTCACATATGTGGGAAGCAGGGAGAGAGTGGACCTCTGGTCGTTGACATCCTCTGGTCCGGTCAACATGTACTTCTTGCTGTAGTGGCGCGAGGGGTCTTCCAGGGACAGGAGAGCGGCTGCTGCCCTTCCCACGTCGTCCGGATCGATGGTGGCCACCGAGGCTCCATGGAGAAATGTTCTGAACTGGTTCGTTTTGGGTACAGCGTCGAGGTCAATCCCCACGCTGGTGTGGAAGAGGTTGGCTCGCAGGCAGGTGAACGGGATGTCACCACGCTCCAGGAAGCACTCGACAGCCAGATGCGAACGAGCGTAGAAGATGTCGCTGTAGACCTCCATCCAGGCGTCAACAGTGGACAACTTGACGATGTACTCCACGCCAGCCTTGCGCGCGGCAATGATGACATCCGTCTCGACGAGGAACTGGTCCCGGGTAACCGCACTGGCCAGATAGATTCTGTAAAGAGGAAGGAGTGAGTGCAGGCGTCCACGAAAAAGCGCCCATGAATGCACTGACCTGTCAACGGGCTCGGTGAAGGCGTCCTCCAGAGTGACGGGCACGACGCCAGGGAGCTCTGCAAGCTGTTGGGCAGCTTTGCCCTGAGGGTCTCTGGTGATGGCGAGGACGTGGTGACGCCCGGTCTGGCTGGGCCAGAGCCCTCACAACCGCCGCTCCAGTGTTTCCCGTGGCTCCAGTGACTGCAATGCGCATTGTTGTGGTGGTGTCGATTTGTGTAAGGGTCGGTGTCGAGTTGCTGGTTCTTCGTTTTAAGGAGGAACAAGAGGGCCCTATCAGCTGTCGGCGATACGATATCAGCTTCGGCGGAATGCAGACAGCATTCTATCTGCAAAAATCTCGGCGCACATTCAAAAAAATGTTCCGTCGATAAAAATTCTCCGTACCTGCAATGCGATCTATCATCCGGATCGAAGACGATCAGATACCGTCGTAGTCTTAACCATAAACGATGCCGACCAGCGTGCAAGACTCATAACCAAGACGAAGGAAAACAGGATCAGAAGAGTAAAAGCAACCTTTTTTTTGCGCTCTGTCCAGAGCATCACTGGTTGGTGCATTTTGCAGCACCATGGGCACGTCGTTGTGGTCGTCAACCACTTTCTTGGCCCGCAGGATCTGCTCGAGCAAGGCCGAGACCTCTTCGAACGAGCCGCGGCTGGCGATGGAGAAGAATGTTGTGTTTTATGCCACCGTTCACGTCTATTCCTTGATAGGTGAGTAAAAAAAAAGAGAGCAGTAGCATTGGTCACACACAAGTTGTCATGCTGCAAGATGATTGGTTCAGAACTTGAACCCAGGACCAATGGCCGGGCCAGGATTTGTAGTGGTGGTGTACTCGTAGGCGCCGACAGTGGGGGTGGTGTTGGACCGGGGCGTGTTGTTGAAGTCCTTGGTCGCCGGCGCCGTATAGGCCGCGCTGCCGGCGTTCTTGAGGGCGCTGGTCGCCGATGGGTAAAAGTTGTTGGCCGCCGCGTTGGTCACCGCGCCGGTCGTGACCTGGAACACGCCGGTCGAGGGCACGCCTTGTGTGTGCGTTCTCTAATGTCAGCCAAGCTCGCCGTGCGGCGTGTGCGGTCGGCGTGCGGTGGTTAGAGCGTACCGGCCGGGGTGGAGCCGACGTAGGCGTTCTTGAGCCACACGGTGTTGGTCTGGGTCTGCACCGCGAAGGCGTTGGCCGACAGGAACGCGTTGTTGGCGACCACGAACTGACTTCCACTCAAAGCCTACGTTGCGTGTCGTGCGTGTGCGTGTGAGTGTGTGCGGTTTGAGTTACAAGAGCTAAAATGCCGCACAGGAGAAGGAGAAGCGTGTACAGGAAGATAGAGGTCGACGTAGCCCGAGTTGTAGATCGTGTTGTGGACGATCTGTACGTTGGAATAGACCCCGCTCTGCTGGTTCTGGTTGTTGGCCAGGAAGATGCCGTAGCCCGCCGCGCCCACGATGATGTTGTTCCTGATCAGGGCGCCCGAGCTCACCTGGATGCCGTTGTCTCCCGAGTTGATGATCACATTGCCCTCGACCAAGTTGGCGCCGCGCTGTTGCGTCGGTCAGTCCTGTGTCGTGTCGTGTCGTGTGTCGTGTCGTGTGTGTCGCACGCGCGGGTGTTTACCTGGTAGTCGGAATAGAGCAGAACGCCGGGAGCGTTGACATTGTAGAACACGTTGTCCCTAACGATGTTGTCTTTGTAGTTCACAGCGTGAGCGCACACACACCACACACACACACACACAGTATGGGCGCACGCACTGTAGGAGCCGGTCTTGATCTGGACGCCGCTGCCGAAGCCGGCCACGGCGTTGGTGGTGTCGTGGCAGTAGTTGCGCTCCACGAGGCTGTCGCGCACCTGGCACGCGTCGTTGTTGCACCCGAGGTAGAAGCACTCGCTCGTGTCGTAGCCCGTGTCGAACACCTCCATGCGCCGCAGCACCAGGTTCGAGTAGACGGCGCCGGCGTCGTTGGCGCTGAACGCCGTCGACTGAGTCGAGTAAATGCGCACATTGTCGAAAGTAGCATAGGAAGTCGACTCTGGGAATTCACCAGGTTTCCCACCAGGTTAGTTGGTGTGGAAGAATGCCAGGAATACAGGAAATGGCTGTGGAATGCGTGGCACGTGTAGGGGAGGGGTGGTACGGGTGCCGAGGCGGATGCCGCGAGAGCCGCCGGTGAAGTCGAGGTCGTAGAAGCCGAAGTGCTGGCCCTGCACGTTGAGAATGTTCTGGGCGGTGCTGAGCTGCCGGATGATGGTCTGGCCCGTGCCGGCGCCCTTGATCTTGATCTTCGCGCTCGCGCTGCCCACAAGGTTGAGCGCCCAATAGCCGTTGAGCGTGTACGTTCCACTACATACACGAACGTAGCGCAGGTAAGAATGCGAAGAATAACAGCAATGGTGATGATAACAATAAAAAGAAATAACAGATATTAGATAATAGAACACAGATAATAGATAAAAAGACGAGCTCGTCGTACGCGGCAAGGATGGCAGTGTCGCCGGCCTGGAGGGTGCCGATGGTGGTGGTCCAAGCGCTGGTCGGGGTCAGGTAGTACGTGTTACCGGTGCTGGGGGACTGGGGGCTGGCGGATGGCGTTCTGGTCGGGCTCCTGGTAGGGGTCCTGGTGGGAGTCGCGGTCGGGGTGCGCGACGCACTGGGCGCGACGACCACCTTGGACGTGCTCGGCGACGGAGTCCTAGTGGGAGTCCTGGTCGGGCTCCTGGTGGGAGTCGCGGTTGGGGTGCGCGACGGGCTGGGCGCGACGACCTTGGACGTGCTGGGCGACGGAGTCCTAGTGGGAGTCCTGGTGGGAGTCGCGGTCGGAGTGCGCGTGGCGCTGGGCGCGACGACCTTGGAAGTGCTGGGCGACGGAGTCCTAGTGGGAGTCCTGGTGGGAGTCGAGGAGGGAGTCCTGGACGCGCTGGGCACGGAGCTGGCCGAGGCCGCGGGCGCCGAGCCAATCAGAGTCTTGAAGCCCCGGGCGATGGCCGCGCCGGGATTGGTCGAAGTCGTGTAGGTCTATGACGCGCGAGTGTAAGTCGAACTATGTCGGAGCTATGTAGAATATATAATACAATATATAGATATATATAAAATGGTGGCGACTTACGAAGGCGCCGACGGTGGGGGTGGAGCCGGTTCGGGGGGAGCCGTTGTAGTCGCGGGTGGCGGGCGACGGATAGGCCGTGCTGCCGGCGTTGATGAGCGGGCTGCCGACCGACGGGTAGAAGTTGTTGGCGCCCGCGTTGATCACCGCGCCGGCGGTCACCTGGAACACACCAGTCGATGGCACGCCTTCAAATACACCGCGACACACATACGCGCGTCGATCAGTGATTGTCGCCAGACACACAGTTGACGTTGGTACGCGATAACGTGGGAAATGTGAGGAAATTGTGCGGTGTGTATACCAGGAGGGGCGGAGCCGGACACGTAGGCGTTCTTGAGCCACACGGTGTTGGTCTGGGTCTGCACGGCGAAGGCGTTGCTTGACGACAGGAACGCGTTGTTGGCGATCACGAACTGGCTTCCGCTCAGCGCCTGGACCAAATGCGTGTGTTTCATCATCAGCAAGGAATGTCGTCATCGAATCAATCAACAAGCCAGTAGTGTGCGAGCGTACCCTGAGGTAGAGATCGGCAGCGCCGGAGTTATAAACAGTGTTGTGCACGATCTGGACGTCGTGGAACACGCCGCTCTGCTGGTTCTGGTTGTTGGCCAGGAAGATGCCGTAACCCGCCGCGCCCACAACGATGTTGTTCCTGATGATGGCGCCCGAGCTGAGCTGAATGCCAGCGTCCTGGGTCCCCACTATCACGTTGCCCTCGACCAAGTTCACGCCCCTCTACACATCGGCACATGAGTTTAAAAAAAACCAGTTTTACACTTGTTCGCGTGTGGTTGCATGTGAGATGTGAAAAGTGTCATACTTGGTAGTCATCGTAGATCAGAATGCCAGGAGCACCAGTGTTGTAGATAACATTGTCCCTGATGATGTTGCCTAAGAATAACAAGTGTAAAGAGCCAGCCAATCAGCAATCAAAGAATGGCCAGAAGTCACGTGTGTGTGTATGTGTGGAAATAAGGTACGGTAGGAGCCGGTCTTGAGCTGGATGCCACTGCCGTAGCCCGCCTGGGCGGTGGCTGTGTCGTGGCAGTAGTTGAGCTCCACGAGGCTGTCGCGCACCTGGCACGCGTCGTTGTTGCACCCGAGGTAGAAGCACTCACCCGTCTCCGAGCCCGTGTCGTACACCTCCATGCGCCGCAGCACCAGGTTCGAGTAGACGGCGCCGGCGTCGTTGGCGCTGAACGCCGTCGCCTGGGTATGGTAGATCTGCACCCCCTCGAACGTGACGTACGACGCTGACTCTGTAGAGAATAAACAATATATAGAGATATATATGAGATGCCAATGTACACGATATAAGAAGATGCTATCGTGTGAGAAACGTACGAGGACCGAGGCGGACGCCGCGAGAACCGCCGGTGAAGGACATGTTGTAGAAGCTGAAGTACTGGCCGACCATGTTGACGATGTTCTGGACGGTGCTCTGCTGGCGGATGATGGTCTGACCCGCACCGGCGCCCTTCACCACGATGGGCGCGGCCGCCGTACCGGCCAGGTTGAGCGCGTAGTACCCCGTGAGGGTGTACGTGCCTCTACACCAAAATTAAACAGAGAATTATGAGGAATTCTTGGTATGCCTCAAAATTTGGGAGGCGGGAGGGGGCGTACGCGGCGAAGATGGCAGTGTCGCCGGCCTGGAGGCTGCTCAGGGTGGTCGACCACCCGGCGTTGTCCGGGTAGAGGTAGTAGGTCGCCCCGGAGCTCATGCCCACAGCGAGGCACAGAATCAGGGCCAGCACAGCGCCCACAAACTTATGCATGTCCCTGGTCTTGCTTGATAAGTGTGGAAAGGGATCAAACTTGCAGAGCTGTCTGAACTGCACTGGGTCACAGCAAAAAAAAAAGAGAAGAGACAGCTTCTGGGAGTGCAAACATGCAGCCCCAACTCTGATCACCGTAATATCTGGGGGTAAGCCGAGGATGATAGGTCAGCAGGCAATTTATGCCCACCGCCGATAGGCCCAAAGGGAGAAGAACAAGGTTGACAGGCCCTTGCTTTGAGCCTCCGGCCGCCGAATGGGAGGTTGCGCGGGGGCTCCAACTCATTGTTGTGGCTCTCCCGCTCGGCCGTTTTCTTCGCTTTTAACCACCCGACCAAGCTTGTCGTGGTTGTATTAAAGGTTTGAAACCAGCTGATAGTCAAAGCTGTCGCGAGATCGTTGTCTCTTCCTGACGTAGTGGAGCGTGACTGCACCACCCACGACGACCAAGCCGCCCACCGCCGCTATACCAACACCCAGGCCGAGGCCCAGCGCCAGTTTCTTGTCGCTTGAGCCGCCGTGATCAGATGGCGAATGGCTGGGCTGCAGCAGAGGCGAGAGAGAGATGACTGGCGACGCTGACGGCGTGATCGATGGCGTAGTGGAAACTATGGGCGACGCTGACCGCGTCTGCGAAGGTGAGGGCGACGGTGACGGCGTGGTCGATGGTGTAGTGGAGGGTGTGGGCGACGGTGACGGCGTGGTAGATGGCGTAGTGGAGGGTGTGGGCGACACTGACGGCGTCGGCGAACGTGACGTGGAGATCGAAGGCGACGCTGATGGCGTGGGGGAAGGCGAGACGAGCCCGGCGGATGCATCAAAGACGTCCACCACCGCGGAGACGCCATACCTCTCGCCGAGGTAGCCTCCAGCAAAGAGCGCCAAGCTTGAAGATGTCCACCACCGCCGAGCCCACGGCCCACTCGCCGTCGATGGTGCCTCCGGCAATGTTGGAAGGTCGAGATAGGCTGAGAAGCCGTAGGAGACGTGACAATGTCAAAGAGGAGAGAAAAAGATATATTGTAGGAGTTTGGAGTGGTAGAAATACAAGGTAGAAAGATAGAAAAGGAGAAGGATATAAAAGGAAAGAGGGAACTCAAGAGATGAGTATCCAACATTCCCCCCCAGAATCAAGAGTGACTGAGAGCACATTCAGCCTCTGGTGGAGAGGTCCAGTTTTGCCTTGTAACGAGCTTTGGACTGGTGATGTGCTTGGTCAGGAAATCCGCCAGGTTCTTGTTCATGGGGATGTAGTTGACTGAGATGTCCTTGTGCTGAATGTGGTTGTACATGAACACGTGCTTGATGGCAATGTGTTTGAGTCTCTTGGGCCATGCAAAGACTGGTTTGTGCATGATGGTGATGGTTGATTGATTGTTGTTCAGGATCTGGATTGGTTGGTTGAGCTGGAAGCTGAGTGTTGGTAGAAGATGTTGCAGGTAGAGTGCTTGTCAAGTGGCGTCCATCACTGCTACCAGTTCTGCTTCAGCAGTGGAGAGCGCCACTGTCTTCTGGAGTCTTGACCACCATGCAATGGGTCTGCCAGCCCACACCACAATGTTGCTGGAGTAAGACTTCATTGTGAGTGGATCAGTACCATTGCTGGCGTCACAGTGAATGATCAGGTTGTTACTCATGACAGCACAGCTCCTGTCATGGGTGTACCAAATTGTCTGTTGACTGGTGCCATAGAGGTATCATAGGACATGCCATGCTGCCTTGAAGTGGGTGTTGTTGAACATGCAGACAAACCAGGACAGGTAGACAACAGCATGTAGCACATCAGGACACATCACAAGAGTGATGTAGAGGAGGGCTCCAACTAGTTGCTGATACTTGAGAGAGGCATGTGTGGGTGAAGTGCACTTGATGACATGTAGATTGGTGCCAGTGGGGAGAGGACACATGAGTGGCTTGGTGCTGATGAGCTTGAACTTGCTGGCCAGGTCAAGAATTTTCTGTTGCTGAGAGATGTTGAGTACACCACATGGTGATGTCATAGCTGATGTCCATGCTGAGAATCATGGACACCAGGCCAAAGTCCTTGATGTGGAAATGATTGCGCAATAGGTCCTTGACAGTGTCAACATCATTGGGAAGACTGACAATGAGGAGGTCGTCCACATAGACAGAGAGGATGACAAGTGGTTTTATGATAATGGTGGACTGCACAAAGATGCAGTGGAGGTCAGGCTTGTAGATGATGTCCTTGCTGTTGCTGACTGCAGAGTGGTTGTGCAGTGTGTAGAGACACAGATTGGTGGTGGCTGTGGTGAAGCTTATCTTGATGAGAAAAGAGTCTAGTGTGTGATTCCATGTGAGAGGCGCCTGCTTGAGGCCATAGAGGGCTCTCTTCAGACAGAAGATGTGATGTGGCTTGTCAGGGTTGATGAAACCCTCTGGCTGTGTCACATAGACCTCCTCATGGAGATCAGCCTGCAGGAAAGTGTTGTTTATGTCCATTGAGTTCCACCACCCAAGGGCGTGCTGGGCACATGCACCAGCACCAGGCTCAACCTTGTCTCCTCAGTCCTCAAGATCCTGGCATCACAGCATGTGCCCAGCACGCCCTTGGGTGGTGGCCTGTTGGCAAACCACACAGGCTGATGCACACTTCAACCTGACCATGTCACCACAACAGTACTGCTGCCATGCTTCGCACTGGTGGTGGCAGCACACTCCACCTACTTGCTGCTGGTGGTAGTGGAGCTGCAAGCAGAGTCAACAATCTGTGTGGCTGGGATGACCTGGACAGGTGTGCTATCCAACATGTCTCATGTGGACAGGTTGTGTGTGGAGGGGATCTCCTCCAATCTGGGGAGTGGTGCCTGGGCAGCAGGACCAGGTGGCTCACCCTCCACTGCTGAGGGACCGCTGACAGGTGGCGCTGCAGAGGCATCATCACCTGGGACAGGGGTAGGTGCTGGGGCCAGCACAGTTGATGTAGCAGGTGGAGGTAGTGCAGTGTCAGCTGGGGGCACATGGAGACTGCTGTTGTCATCATTGTCATCCTGAAGTGGAATGTAGGCAAACATGGTGCCAGGCTGCTGTAGGTCATCCAAGGGTCATGAGGTGCTGCACTCATTGAAGGTGACATTTCAGGTGTTGTCACTGGCCAACCACATACACACAGTACATGGAGGAGGAGTAGTCCACCACCCCTAGGAACTGGACAGGAATGGACTGCACTGAGATCTTGTGGCGCTCATGGTCATGAAGACACATCATGCCCAGGGCGCTGAAGACTTGTAAGTGTCTTGTTGGTGGCAGTGCTCCATGCCAGAGCCAGAATGGAGATGCATGTGCTGGGGAGGACTGAGAGGGAGTAGTGTTGATGACATCACATGCATGCCAGGTGGCCTCTGCCCACCACTTGCTGGAGAGACAGGCATTGAAGAGGAGGCAGTGCATGTGGGTCATGATCTCATGGTTGAACCACTCAATGACACCATTGTACTTGGAGGTGTAGGGTGGGGTTGGTTCATGCTTGCCACCCACCTTGAGGATCCACTCACCAACAATTGTGTCAAGCTCCTTTGTGTTGTCAAGGTGAACACAATGGATGTGTATGGAGGGAGGAAAACCCACAGCAATGGCACGTAGGGCAGTGCTGATGGTGGCAGATGACTTGTTGGGCAGGGGCCGCACAAAGTGCATCCAGGAGAAGGAGTTGGTGACGGTGAGCATGTAGATGTGCCCACCAGCCAATCAGTGGCACAAGGGCCTGACCAAGAGAAGATCACCAGGGTAGTGTCCATGCACAGCATGGTTGGTGCTTGGGGACCAACTAACCCCATGCATTGTCTGCTTGCCCATGAGGCAAACACTGCAGAAGGGCAAGAGTGATGACAAGAGCATGGCTTGCTTCTCATGCTTGCTGAGATTGGCTGACTGGCACACAAACTCCCAACAGCACTCCTCACTGACATGACCAAGACAGTGGTGTACAAGATCAAGGCATGTCAGAGGGTGGCCCACTGACAGAGCAGTGGCTCTGGCAGCAGGGTTGGCCATGGCAGGAATGAATGTGATGGTGAAATAGTAGAGGTTGGGTTGATAGCTGAAGAGGCACAACTGATCATCAAGGAAGAATTGAAACCCATGCTTCTGGTTGAACACAATGCAGCACCTGGCGTTGAGTAGCTGCTGCAGCGAGATGAGTGTGTGCAATGCACTGGGCATGTACACAACATCATGCATGACGACATTGCTGGGCCTGCCACTGATGGTGGTGATGCCGTGCAGGGTGCCATGTCCAACACACTCAATGTGACCCCCATCAGCACACACCAAGTGAGGGAATGGCAAGTGGAACAAAGTCATGCAGCAGGTCCTGCCGGTTTGTGGTGTGCTGGGTGGCGCTGGTGTCAGCAATCATGGGCAACTGGACTGGTGACATGAGGGAGAAGATGGAGTAGGTGTGATGCTGTTTATTGGGGGACACAAGCTCCAGCACATGAACAGCGGCGCCAACATCTGACTCAGCAATGATGGCAAAGTCACTAGGGCATGTGGCGGCGGTGGCAGCAGTCATGGCGGCAAAGATGGATGTCTGCGGCGTGTGAGGTGGCAGTGCAGCAGTGGCGGCAATGGCAGCAGCAGTCATTGCAGCAAGGGTGGCGGCCTGCATGGTGGTCTGGGGTGAGCGCAGACTGGCGGCCTTGTGACACTGCTCCAGGGAATGGCTGCGTGAGCTGTGGTGAGAGCACCACTTGTTCTGGCTGCCACTCCAGCCCTGACAATGTGACTGACCATGGGGACCTGATGGTGGCTGCAGTGGACCAGGACATACCTGATGTTGATGGTTCCTGTAGTGGTGCTGGTCAGCCTGACCAGCATAGAGAATGGCGTCAGAGCTGGGGGCAGCATGGTGAGAGGCTTTGATGTGATCAAGGGCCTTGAGAATGGCCTCTGTGGGCGTGTCATCTGTGAGTGTGTTGAATTGGGCCTTGAAGGCTGGGTTGATGCTCTTGAGAGTGGTGGAGAGGATGATGAGCTGACTCCACTCTGACATCTTGTGCCCGCCAGTCTTGACTGTGAGTATGCTGATGAGCACCTGGATGTGAGCCCAGATTGAGTGTACTGTGTCACCAGCACAAATGAGGTAGATGTCTGGCTTGCCAAGGTCACATCACACAGCCTGTAGAGCAACATCATTGTTGCCATATCAGTTGTTGATGGCCATCCAGAGAGTGACCAGGCAGCCATCACTCATGCCAGAGATATCCTCAAGTAGATCTGGCATGATGGTGCTGCAGATGAAAACAAACGTCTTGCACCAACCCTTACACAGTTCACAAGCCACCTTGAGCACTGACATGTCATCAAGAAGGGCTGCAATCTGCTTCTTCTTCACATCAGCCAATTTCACCTTCACAGGAGACAATTTTTCCCCTGAGGTTGACTCTGATGCAATGGAAATTGCAGCGGTGATGTCAAGGGACTCAAAGAGGGTGGCAGTGTGTTCTGCATCATAGTCATCAACCACCTGGACAATGGCAGTGTAGTCAGTGGTGATGTATTTGGTACATCCTTGTTCATGGAGAGCCAGTCGTACAGTACAGTTCCACTCTGTGAATGTCAATTGATTGTGGAGAGGGGTGATCTGGAGACCGTTGGTGTTGGTGTTGGTGTTGATCATGATGCAGAGATGCGATTGAAGAAATGATTGATGAAGATGGGGTTAGGTCGTTGCGCTAATGGTATTGTGGGCCCATAACCTGTTGGAAGGTCGAGATAGGCTGAGAAGCCGTAGGAGACGTGACAACGTCAAAGAGGAGAGAAAAAGATATATTGTAGGAGTTTGGAGTGGTAGAAATACAAGGTAGAAAGATAGAAAAGGAGAAGGATATAAAAGGAAAGAGGGAACTCCAGAGATGAGTATCCAACAGGCAAACAGAGCAAGATCGCCGACCGTCGTTGCCACCACCCCGAGGCGCTTCTCCGAGAGACAGACCCAGCCCCACCGGCCGGACGACACGTTGTACATGTCCACCTGCGCGCAGTGGCCGCCAACGATGCCGGCAAAGAACAGAACCATGTCGCCGACCGACGCCACCGCCGACCCGTAGCTGGTGTACTTGGATCGCCGGGCCGTGGTCCACTGATCGGACGACGCGTTGTAGATGTCCACAACCGAGCCGGCGTACGCGGCGCCGCCGGCGAAGAAGGCCAGGTCGCCTACGGAGGCGGCACGGACCCCGTAGCGGGGTTGGCTGAGCCGAGCGGTGCGCCACTCGCCAGAGGACCGGTTGAACATGTCCACCACGTCGGATACCTTGCCGTTCCAGGTCTGGCCGCCGGCAAAGAGGGCGACCTCTCCTCCGGAGACCGTGGTCGCCGCCGCGCCGCTCCTGGCCTGCGAGAGCGCAGCAGCCTCACTGCCCACTGAGAGTAAGAGTTCTTTAAGCAGGCAACAACAGAGGACCCAATCATAGTGAGACATGGGGGCTGGAAGTGATCCACAGAGTCCCACATCATGGCCAAGCTGTTAACTTTACTTTTTAAACAAAAAGTAACGTTTTTTTAAGGAAGAGAAAAACAAGAACAAAAAAACTGGAACTAAGAAATAAAAGAATAGGAACACTCGCACAATCAAGTGCGATCATATCTGGGAGGAGAGACCACCGTCGAGCACGATGACCTGGCCCGTGAGGTAGTCGCTGCCCACCAGAAAGCTCACCGCGTCCGCCACCTCCTGCTCTTCGCCAATTACGGTGGTGTCGCGTGTGTCGTGCGGTGGGGTGTGCGTGCGGCGCGTGTGCGGTGGTGCGTGTGTCGTGTGTGCATGTGAGAGGGAGGGGGGGAGGTGCCTCGGCACGGCCGAGCCGTCGGAGCGGGATGGCGGTGAGGTCGATCTTGTCCCGAACGTCGCGCAGCATTTCCGTGTCGATGTAGCCCGGCGCCACTGCGTTCACGGTGATGCCCCGCGGTCCGTACTCCACCGCCAGCGATTTTGTGAGCCCTGTGCGCCGCCATGCGCGTGCGTGAGAACCACGTCACCACGACACGCACCACCGCGTGCGCTCACAACACAAAACAATTGAGAGCGTACCTATAAGCCCAGCTTTCGAGGCAGAATAGGCCGCTTGGCCAGAGTTGCCCATCAGTCCGATCACGCTGCCCACGTTGATGATGCGCCCTGTGCGCCACAAGCAATGAGAAGTCAGGAATGTAGGAATGTGTGTTATGTCAAAACATTTCGTGGCAGAGCCTGTGAGTGGAACCATAACGCTGCTTGATCATGGGTCGCAGAACGGCCTTGCTCAGGTACATCGCACCTAGCAGGTTGGTACCGACCACGTTCTGACACGACACACGACACACGACAGACAGGGAGAGGAACACACGCACGACACACACACGCACGACGTGATGAGTAGACTCCTGATTGATCCCGAGTGGCTGGGAGATTGGTGACGCACATGCATGGCTTCGGCGCTTGACTTGACGAAGAGGCAATCATCAGCGACACCGGCGCAGTTGACCAGAATGTCCACCCGCCCGTATTCCCTCTCCACCTACTCGCCCACACGCACCACCACACACGCACACCACCGCACACGCACACAACATTCGTTGAAGTGTTCGGGAGCTGTGTTGTGGCCGACGTACCTGTCGGATGGCCGCTTCCACTTGTTCGTTTTGTGACACATCGCAGGCGATGGCCACATGCTTTCCGCCCTGCTTGCCCAGCACGCAAACAGTAGTGAGCCCCCACACGCGTGCGACGGCATGTGTTGTGTGTTGTGTGTTGTGTGTTGTGTGTTGTGTGTTGTGTTGTGCCAAACCTCAACCGCGGGCAGACCGGCAGCCACCTTGACCAACTCTGCTTCGTTCCTACTCAACACTGCGGGTATCGGACGGCCTTTATTTATTTATTTATTTTATAGTAAAAGGCGATGAGCGTACGTGCGACGGAGGTCTGGTGCCTCTGTGCGAGTAGGCGGGCCGTTGCGAGCCCAATCCCCCGCGACGCCCCCGTCACCACGGCCACCTTGCCAAGAGGTCCCGCAGCCTTCATCTTTTCTACAAAATATTAAAATGGATTATAATCATTTCTTTGCTCGTCACTCATGATTTCTTGTGATTTCTTGGAATTTCTCGGCTGCATGCGAAGGTGTGGCCAAGCCGTGTGGGCCGGCAGACCAAGACAGCACACGATGGAGCACCAGGCGGCACAGAAGCTGGGCAGCGGCATCAAGGGCTTCCTCTTCGACATGGACGGCACACGTACGCCGCCAAGCCCAATATATTTTGTGATTTTATTTTTGATTGCCGCAACATATTGAGAATTGTTTATTTATTTGTTTGTTTAATTCTTATATATTTGGCATTAATGACACTTGTGGTTAGTGACCGTACCCGTCCTGGATTTCGCCTTGATGCGCCAGAGGGTGGGCGTTCCGCATGGCCTAGACGTGCTCACCGAGGTACCGCACTAAAAAAAACAACAAAAAAACAATAAAAATTAGTAAGTATTAAAACCGCAACGTTCGCATCGCAGGTGGAGAAGATGGACGACGAAGAGCGAGTGCGATGCATGAAGGTACGCCAACCAACCGAGTAGGCGTGTGCGGTTGTGTGATCTCACACAAACACAAACACAAACACACGAATGCGTGTGTCAAGCGTAGATCATCGAGGAGATGGAGGACGAAGGAATCGAAAAGCTGCAGCTCCAGCCGGGCCTGCTCGATCTCTTCCAATGGATCCGTGAACACTCGCACGGTCCCTACAAAACGGTGCGCGCGTGTTGCGTATTGCGTGTCGCACGGTGCGCGTACTGATCTCGTGCGTGCGCGGGAAAACAATGCGCGCAGGCCATCGTGACACGAAACGCGGGCAAGGCTGTGGAGCATTTTCTCGCCCATTCGGGCCTCAATTTTGACATTGGTAACACGACACACACACACACACACACACACACGGCGACACACGACACGCGCGACCACGTGTTGCGTATCACAGTTTCCTCGGCGCTGATGTTGTTCGTTTCGTCTTGTGCGCGGCCAAGTGTTGGACCGCGCGTTCAGGCCCTACAAGCCGGCGCCCGAGCCGATTTTGCACATCTGCAAGGAGTGGGACTTCCACTTGGACGAGGTCCTCTTCATCGGTGATTCAAAGTACGCGTTCCATCACACACACACACACACACGACACACACACGGTGTGAAAGGCTCTTATCGTCTTCATCTCTGAACCGATCTATTTCCAAGGGACGACCTGGGGAGCGCATCCGCAGCTGGCTGTGCGTCGGTCCTCATCAAGAACCCCAAGAACCAATATTTGATTCCCGAAGCCACGTACGCCCACTACACGACACGCACGACACACGCTGTACAGCACACACCACATAACACGCACGACAGGCGATGCGCGACACACGTCACGCGACGCACACGCCACACACCACACACGCATGCCCATGTTCATGATCTTCGTCGCTGCAGGTACCACGCGGACACGCTCTCGGAGCTCATCCCCCTGTTCGAGTCCCTCGTGGCCAAACCCCTCAACAGCCAATGACCACCTGCGCAACAATACTGAACATCCACATTTGATCAAAAAAAAGAGCAACCGTCCAGTGCGTGTGCGTGTGCGTGTGCGTGTGTGATGGAACGCTACTTTGGGGCGCACACAGGGAAATACCGCACATTCCAATCCTACCAAATCGAATACGCTTTCATATCGCCGCTTGCCCGACCTCCGGGGTAGCGTCGCGAGGACCCACCCAGCCCTGTCCAAGACAGTGCCCACAAGAGAGTCAGTGATAAGATGATGTTTACTTCGTCGCAGTCGACCTGCGGTCTGCTGCTGGCTCTGCTGTGCTGCCTGATGGTGGCCAGCAGCTATGCTGCCCCAGCGGGAGACTACGCCGGCTGGCAACCCGTTGCCAACCAGCGCGCCCTCTCCAGGTGCCCTCATCCACTCCGCCTCCCTAATGATAATCAAAAAAATGGCAGCAATCTTTTCTGCCAATTTCAAGAAGATTTTTCTTTATGAAAACTGCAGTCTGCGCTGTATGGTGTTGACACACACTGTCATCCACTGTCATCCATCTTTGTCCCCCCCTGTTTTTTTAAAAAAAAATAATGCGCCTTCGCTTTCGTTCTCCTGACCGTTGGTTCGTTTATTTATTGGGCAATTTTGTTTTATCACCAGTGATGCGCAGGTGCGTATGGTGGTGTACCTCAAGCAGAGCAACCTCGACCGTCTCGATGTACGTCACGTCTTTAGCTCGCGCTCCCCCCCCCCCATTAGCCGTCGCTTGTAGTTCGCTGACCCTCATTTCGCTGGGAATCGCTGCCGACGTAGGAACTCTTCTGGGCCGTCTCCGACCCCGACTCCCCGATCTACGGTTTGTCCCCGCCATTCTCCTCCCTCTGCCACAGCGCACGCGCTCACGCACCACCGCACACAACACACGACACACACGACACACGACACAGCTCAATACCTGTCGATTGATGAGATCACCGAGATCGGTACGCCGCCGTCCACGTTCTTCCAACGTCCACAAGTCCGAAAAGACTTTGGCATGTGCGTGTCTTGATTCCCCCCCCCCCGCTACAGTCGCCGCTCCCGCCGAGGCCGTGAAGACGGTCGTCGAGTGGCTGGCCGAGCACGGTGCCACCGACATTCGTACGTTCACCGCACGACACGCCACACGCCACACGCCACACGCCACACGCCACACGCCACACGCCACACGCCACACGCCACACGCCACACGCCACACGCCACACGCCACACGCCACACGCCACACGCCACACGCCACACGCCACACGCCACACGCCACACGCCACACGCCACACGCCACACGCCACACGCCACACGCACGCATACGACACAACACGCGGCTAAGGTTGGATGGTGGATTGGCAGACGTGGTGAAGAACAGGGACGCTCTGATCGCGCGCATGTCGGCCACGACCGCGGACGCACTCTTCTCCGTCAACCTCCGCCGCTTCCGCTCGCCCGACGGTACTCTCTACTCTTCTGTCCATCTCTTGCTCTGCTTACACGATGCCGCACGCACACACGCAACACACCATACACGCACCACCGCACGCGCACACACGGCACACACGGCACACGACCGGACAGGTCGCAGGGAGATTCTGCGTTCGTCGAAGGCCTACGCCCTGCCGGGTCACGTGGCGCGCCACGTTGACCTCATCTCCGGCCTCACCGACTTCCCGCCCATTCGTACGGTCTCACATCTTTTTCTCTCTTTTCGCCACATTTTTGTATTTTGTATTTATAATTTATTTAATTTTGTATTCATTTAAATCCGTTGTCACAAACTCACCGTTTTATCGGCACAACAGAGGACAGGAAGCCTCTGAAGGTCAAGGACAACGTCATCAGCCACAATGCCCCCTGTACGCACATTTATTGATTTATTTCTTCTTTTATTATTGCATTTATTATTTATTTATTCGATTTACTCATTTATGTGTTGCCACGCAGCTACGGTGGCGGCGAACAACGCGCCTGTGGTGACCAGCGCCGGGGCCAGGGGCGGAACGGACATCAGGATCCGCTTCAACCCGCGATGCTCCAACGGCTTCTTCACCCGCACCCCCACCACGGTACCTCCCTCACCAAAAAACATGCGCGCGTGCGGTGTGCGCGTGTCGTGTTGTGTCGTGTGCGCACGCAGTCTAACACGACACGCACAACACGACCAGCCGTGTGCGGACTATCCTCCCGCGATTGTTCGCTTCGAGGCCGCTCTGTCGTCGGTCAGCGACATCACGAAGCGCTCCGAGCTCTTCCCCATCTGGGGGTACGCGCCTATCCGGCCCAGCTTCTCTCGCCTTCTCTGGTCGCCTAACCTTTCTTCGTGTCTCACCTTCGTGTCGCACGCAGGTCCGATTTCAAGTGCTCGCTTGCAGATGACAGGACCGAGTGTGAGATCGACGTCAAGGGTGCGACACACGCACACGCACACGCACCACCGCACACGCACAGAGAGAGAGAGAGAGAGAAACATTGCTTCCGCTCGCCTCTCAAATACTAATCGGTGCATGTCGTGTTGTGTCTTGGTGTGCGTCGTGTTTTGTGTTTTGCGTTTCTTTTTGTTTCGTGTTTCATGTGTCGTGCAACCCACAGGCTGGTACTACGATCAGGTGAACGTGTCGCTGACAAGCTACTACTCGGCCAACGTCAAGAGCAGCGCCGGCAACTACGAATACTCCGTGCTCGCCACCCCTCCCATCGTCCCGCAGAGCATCTGGGCTCAGGTACCACACACACGCAACACGACACACACGCGACACGACACGACACCCGAGACACGACAAGAGCTGATTCGAATGGTCCACGACGCCCATAGTACAACATTCCGTCGAACACGCGCGTGACGACCAACGTGACCCAGTGCGTGGTCGAGTTCGAGCAGCAGTACTACTCGCCCTCGGACCTCACCCTCTTCTTCGAGCAGATGGGCCTCCCCACTGACACCCCCGTCACCGTTATCGGTACTCATTCTTTATTTACTATTCAATATTATTTATTATTTATTATTTATTATTTGGAATAATTTACACATATTAACTCATTTATTCGTTTATTTATTATTTATTCTTTATTATTATTGCTCATCATGTGCGTGTGTTGCGATGCTAGGTCCCAACTACCCGAACCAGCCCGGCGGTGAGGCGAATCTGGACATTCAGTACATCATGGGCGTCGCCCCTGGTGCGGCGACCACCTTCTGGTCGATCTTCGCCAACTCGAGCCTCGAGATTGACGACATCCTCAAGTGGGCACTCCAGATGTCCGAGACCGAGAATCGTACCACGCTCCCACGCCCCATTCGCTCGATTTCGCTCAAGTGCTGAACGTGCGTGCGGTGGTGCGCGTGAACAGCTCCGCAGGTGAACAGCCTCAGCTACGGCATGGCCGAGATCAATGTCGACACCTACCTGGGCAAGGGGTACTTCGTCTCGTTTTTTATTAATTTATTTATTTATTTATTTATCTACGTCTTCTCGCTTCATTCTGTTCTACAGCTACCTGGCGCGTTCTGATTTCGAGTTCAAGAAGCTCGCTCTCCGGTAAGTATTCCCTTGTTGTGCGTGCGTTGAGTGTCGTATCGTGGGCGTGCCGTGTGTATGGATCGGCCCACTAAATGATGGGTGCGTATCTACAATTAACAGCGGCATCACCCTCATCTTCGCCTCCGGAGACACTGGCGCTGGCCTCCTGGGTGCGTACAACTCTGAACTCATGTCAGTGGTTGCCAATCCGTTGCTCTTGTTTGTGCACTGACACGCTCTGGATTAGGTCCGGCGCCGATGACCGTGCCCAACTGCGACACCCTCCACGCCGACTGGCCCTGCCAATCTGCTTACGTCACCGGCGTCAGTGAGTCTCCCAGCCTTTTTGTTATTCTTATTCTAATGTATTTATTTATTTGATGATTGGTTGATTGATTGATTTATTTGCTGATTGTGTTGGTGTGGTGGGCCAGGCTCTACGATCATCACCCCCGTGTCGGAGCCTATTTGCTACCTGCCCAAGAACAAGGGCGGCATCGACTGCAGCCGCAACCCGCTCGGTGAGATCGTCGTTTCAGTCGACGAGGTCCCTCTTGCCACCCCACTCGCTTTCCAAACCCCCAAACACTGCTGACACCCACCACACGACACGACACACACGACACACACGACACACGACACACGCACAGGGTCTGTTCTGGACGACCGGCGGCGGTTTCTCCAACATCACCCAGAGGGCGCCCTACCAGGCCGACATGGTCGAGTCGTACCTCGCCCGCAAGGACGTCGCCTTCCCGCCCAGTGGTACGACCACTCTTCCCCTCCACAGCATTCCAGTCCCTCTATTGACCATCTGCTCTGTCGACGACACATTCCATCAGCTGTGTGGAATGCCAATGGCCGCGCCTACCCCGACGTGTCTGCCGTCGGCCACAGTACATTCGCCCCTGACGTCACCTTCTTCTATTTGAAGTCGACTAATGATGATGTTACCACCACCACCCACCAACACAAGACCTGATGGTGGCTCTGAGCGGTCAGTTCATTCCCGTGGACGGCACGAGCGCGAGCGCGCCCATCTTCGCCGGCGTGGTGACCCTCCTCAACGACGCGCGCGTCGCCGCCGGCCTGCCGCCGCTGGGCTTCCTCAACCCGATGCTCTACAAGGCCCGCCGCGAGCGCCCCCAGACCTTCTACGGTACGCGTCAACCGCAGCCGTGAGTTGTGCGTGTGCGGTGTGTGTCGTGTCGTGTCGTGTCGTGTCGTGCAGTGGACTCACTTGGTGGCAGACGTGGTATGGGGCAACAACCGATGCGGCGCCATTGGTCTGCCGGCGCCGGCGCCCACCTGCTGCGCGCAAGGCTTCCACGCCGTCGACGGGTACGTGGCCACACACTTTATTTTTCTTCTTTTTTTCCTGGTTTGTTTTTGGTGGTTGTGCATCCATGGATTGAATGATATCGTATATGGCTATGGGATATGTTGGTTGCTGATGGTGTTTTGTCGAATGGCAATGATTGCACCTCATTATTTACTCTTCGTTAATACCGCCAAGTTATCTAACGCAACGATCAATCGCTCTAGGTGGGACGCCGCGACTGGCTTGGGCACGCCCAACTTCTTGGAGCTGAGGGATTTCGTGTTGAACTACCCCAAGAAGTGGTGAGCTGCCCCGGAGGCCTCCTTGGCGGTGTGCGACCGGTGTCTAGGGAGTGTGAATCCACCGTCACCCTGAGATGATTGTGAAAGGTCATGCCAGGATGGCCTTGCCTCCACTTCCTCTCATTTTGCAACCAAGTTCGTCCTTGTGTTGGTTGGCAACCTCTTCCTCTCCTGGGTGGACACACCGGCACCTATCTCCCCAGTGCGCTGAACGGGCGGCCACCCAGGTGGGGGGTTAATTGTGCATTTTGATCATATTTAGCAAACTTACTGGCGACTTTTTCTTTTTTAGGAGTGTTTCTTTTTTAGCCCGCTTTCTGCCGTGCCCTCGAGGTGGAATTTTTGGTATGTACATATTTACTAATCATCAATAATTAGAATTCCTTGTTGTCGTCAGGAGTAGCATTTTTATATTTCACGGTCTTTTTCTCTTCTATTTCGCGTCTTGACGTTCATTTGCGCCACCCTTCTCCTCGCGTCACCATTTGACCCCCTTGCCGCAACCTGCTGGCCCCAGCAGCACCATCACCCCGCCAACAACCTAAGACCTCCAAGTGTCTCAACTTTCGCTAGGAGCTGACCCCACAGCAAAACAATCATCAACTGCACCACAACCGGTCCAAATCGGCTTCATTCAGTCATCCATCCGGTAGCTTAGAAGGCACATCCGAGTTTCCACCTTGGTCATCATCAAGAACTTACAGGACCCAGCCGTCATCAACGAGTAGCGACACATTCGAACCACAAAATCTGCGGCACCCCACCATTCCGATCGAGTAGCGGCACAGATTGCAATTCTCTCTACCATTGAGATCCCACACACAGTGATCATCGCTCTTCCTCTACACCGAGGCCATCATCGCTCGCATTCCACAGTAGCCCGCACGACCCGAATCGATCGGCAAACCGGCAGATTTACGAAACAATTCCGACTACTCTCTTGCTCTCCACGTTGTTCGAGCCTTTTCGAGACCGCAGAGAGAAGAGAGCCAAACAACATTGATGAGAGCTGCTGAGGCCTCCCAATTCGCGAAGAAGTTCGACGATGACGACGGGGCACTCCTAAAGCCTCAGTGGCTCCAGCGCACCAGCGGTACCGGCATCTCGAACCAGTTCCGAAGCGCAGGTACGTGCACACCTCCTTCCCGTTCTATCTTTGGCCCTCGTTTGATGGATGGCTGACCGGGCTGCAAACGCATGATCATTAAAGACCAATTTCGCGGCCGAGGAGGCCGTAAATTTGGCGGTGACGATCGGAGGCCGCGTGGTCCTTCCCCCAAAGTCTCAAGGTACACAACCCCCCAACCCTTCCTTGAGATCATCTTACAATATTCATTTTTTATGTTGTTTTTCATATTTTTTTCCATATTTCATTTGTTTTGACGTCCTGTGTCGTGTTTTGTGTCATCCACAGCCCGGCCAGTTCCGACTTCCCTCCGCTGGCTCCCTTCTACCGCTCCCATTCCACCGGCTCGCTCACGCCCGCCGACATTCCCTCTGCCTCCTCGAGGGTATGTGGCGCCTACATACCACTACCCTTCTATCCTTCTCTATCTCCCCTTTCCGCGCCGCCTTCTTCCGTGCCCTCTCTATCCGCCCGGATCGGCCCTTGTTGAGAGATCCTCACCATCACACCACTCGGGTTTCTTCTTGTCTTGGTATTGGTTGGTTGATGTGCGTGCAGCTTCTGTCGGCGAGCAAGGAAGAAAATACCTTCAGCATCAACCGAGAATGCGATTTTGTACGTTCCTCTCTTGTCTCTTGTCTCTTCTTTTCGGTCGAGTTCCCGCGCGCCTTCCTGACACCACGTGGTGTCTTGTGTGTTTTTATTTATTTAGCCTACTTTGGCCACGGCTGCGGCGGTGGTCGAGCAGCCGGCGCGCATGCACAAGAGCAAGTCGGCGACGGCCCTGCCGCAGGCCATCAGCCCGTCGTCCGACCTGCTGAAGGCCCATCACACCACCCTCGCTGCCTTGGCGGGGCCGGTCGTGTCTTCAGCTCCACCACCATCGGCCGCTGCCTCGAGCCCGGCCTTGGCCCCCGCGGTCACCGCTGGCCCCGAACCACTTCCACCGACCAAGCAGACCCACAAAAAGGTACCAGCACGACCACTACGATTCCCCAATTCTCCTGCTTGGTCCGCCGGCTCGCATATCACGCTTTATATATTTTATGACCCCAAATCCACCGAAATTTTCAATGTTCCCGCGCACACAGTCTCGTCATTGGTCAAATTCGTGAATCTGCCTTTAAATTGCAGCGTAACGGTTGCTTACCTCGAGGCTCGTCTTTTTCACCACTTCCACAGAAGCCGAGCTTCTCAGACAAGGTGAGCTTCTCGGAAATCGCGGCGACCGAAAAGGCCGCGTCCAACAAGGACAAGTTCCAGCAGACCATGGCCAACAGCCGCGCCGAGCTGCAGCGCTTCAAGTCACTCGTGCCGTCGAAGCCCGTCCACCCGTCGCTCGCTAACCGGGTACTTACTTGCGGCCTTACCCTTTTCCTCCTTTTCGATTCTTTCCTTTTGTTATTTTTTGTTGGCCAATCGATTGGTCGCCGACCAGGCAAAACAAATCACCCGACCTGACATCGTAGGCGGCTGTTTGCCTCTTTGTTCTCCGATTGGTCGTCCTGTTGGAACTCTTTCCGGCGGAGATCCTTGTCTTATCTCGTCCCGGCCTGAATACCTTTTATTTTATTTTTTGTATATTCATTTTTTCTGCTTATTATGTTTCTGTTTCTGTTTTGATTTTTTTGATTTTTTTTCATTGTGTTATTGCTCACCGGCTTCTGTGATTGCGATGACGCAGCCGAGCATTCGGCCGTTCCAGCCGAAGGTGCGGCCAAAGATGCCGATGCCGACGGCGTCGGCCACGGTCTTGAAGGCACCCGACAGCAGCCTGATGACGATGATACCGCCCACCTCGCCCGCCACCATGCGCAAGGCCACCTCGGCGCCTGTCCTGCCCATGTCCACCACCCTCCTCCCCCGCTCGCCGCCCAACCCCTCGCCTCTCTCCACCATCTGCACCTCGTCGTCCATCCCCTCCTCTTCTTCATCTTCTCGCGACTCGGCCCACCACCCGGCCGCCGCCGCCGCCGCCCCGTCGTCGCCACCGCGTCCGGCCCTCCTATCGTCGTCGCAGTCGGCCCGCACCCTACCACAGGCCTCCAGCGCATCGTCGAGCGGCGGCGCGTGGGCCGAAACGAGCTTCGCGCCCAGGCAGCACTTTGCCCTCCCGCTCGCGTCGTCCCGCTTTTCGTTTGCCAACGGCGCCTCGTCATCGGGCGGGTCGACGGTCTCCCCGCGCCGCAGGGACTCGTCGCCGGCCACGTCGACCGTCAATGGCTCTTCGTCGTCATCGTCGCCGTGCTCGTCATCGGCGGCGTCGCCACTCACGTCGCCGCGACGCAGCTCCGTGACGTCGGTCATGGCCCTCGTCCAACAGGAGTCGGACGCCATGATCGGCACCATGGGCATCTACTCGTCGTCGGCCCCGCTGTCGCCTCGCATGGCCACCGTCGGCAGCAACGGCGGCAGCAGCGGCAACGCGCTCTCGTCGTCCGGCGGCGGCAAGACGGGCAAGAAGCCGCTCAGGCACTCGGGCTCGGCAGCGTCAGCGTCGTCGTCGAGCAAGCCGGCGAGCAACGGCGGCACCAGACAGCGCCGGAGGTCGGTCAAATCGAGCAGCAGCAGCTCGTCCACCGCCGCCGCCACCAATGGCGGCTCCCGGCGTCAATCCGCCGACGACGGCGAACCCGCTGCCGCCGACAATGGCCAGGCGACGGTCCACGGCTTCGGCGTCGCGCTCTACCAGGCCAGCACTTGCGACAACACCGCCAGCAGCAGCGGCAGCAGCAGCGACGATGACCTGCTGCTGGAGGCCGAGTACGATCGTGTCAACGACGACGAGCTGATGATGATCGCCACCGGCGTCACCAGCATCACCGCCACCAGCATCGCCGGCGTCCACCTCGAGCCCCGCCTGCCCCCCGACGACGACGACGTGGCCGACCATCACCACCAGTCATCCCAGTCGTCGCTGCTCGCCGGCATCAACGGCGACGCCGGCGGCCTCAGCAGCCTCAAGGACGAGTTCTGCCCGTTCAGCTGGGAGATGCGGGCCGACGGCGAGGAGTGGTCCGAGTTCTCGGAGGAGGCGGTGAGCGGCTTCATGAAGACGCTGGGCTACGTGGCCCAGGACGACGGCGCGAGGGGGCTCGACGGCGACGACGACGACGGCGAGGGCCTCACGGAGGAGGAGATCCGGCTCGCCAAGCAGCAGATCGAGCGGGCCACGCTCCAGCAGCTGCTCGAGAAGAAGAAGCAGGGCCTCAGCGAGTCACTCAAGAACTGGCAGCCGCCCCACATCCCCGGCAGCGGCAGCGGTAGCCCGGCCGCCACCGCCGCGGCACCGTCAGCAGGAAGTGCTCTTGCTTCATCATCACCGTCGTCGTCTTCTTCATCATCGCCTTCGTCGTCGTCGTCGACGTCGCCCACGCTGCTGCGTCATCACCCGCGACCAGCGGCGTCGCTCTCGGCCTCGTCGGCGGGCGGTGGTCGTCGTGGACACCACCAGCCGTTGCGCTCGTCGTCGGGTCCGACGCCGTCATCATCAACATCATCGTCTTCATCATCGCACGGGCGACGAAATCATCAGCACAGCCACAGTCAACAGCAGCAGCTGCAGCAGGACCTGCTCGCCCTGGTGGATTCCGACAGCGACGAGTCCGACTGCGAGGAGGAGGTGCACGGCTTCCACGGCATCGTCTTCGGCTGAATGAAGTGGGCACGTGGCACGTGTAACTTGAGCAAGCAGTGAAAAAACAAGGAGTCAGTGTTGTTCTTTTTATTTGTTCTTTTGGTTTAGCGCACCAACTGGGAGAGAAGAAAGAAGGCGAGTTCGTTGTCAGATTTAGTTCAGCCAGTGGCGCGTGGGGCATCCAGAACTGTAAGCTGGCGTGCGTGTTGCATCCCATTCTTGTGATGATGGAGAACAGGATCATGAATAAATGCTCTGCTGGTGCTGGTCTATTGTGCTCGAACAAGAGAGAATACAGTGATTGCAACAAAAAATAAATACAAAAGCTGGGAGAAGAGAGAGGACCCCGGTGCGGTTGTACAGCCTCTACTGCACAATGAACCTGACTGTAGATCGGAACATGCAAGACAAAGGTTAGGACACGCACATGTGTCGTGCTGTGTGCGTGTGCGGTGGTGTGCGTGTGCGTGTGTGCATATGCGTGTGTGTATGTGGCAAGTGGGAGGAGTCCGTACAGGAGGTGACCATGTTGTCGAAGCCCGGGGGCATGGTGAAGCTGTACTGCTGGCGCACCTGGGTGGAGGCGCCCGTGCAGTCGATGTCCTGGAAGAGCTCCAGGCCCACCACGTTGGGGGCTCGAACACCGGCGATGATCGAAAACGAAGACGCCGCGTCGTTGATGGGCAGCACGTTGTAGCACTGGGCCGTACCGTAGGTGGCCGCGATGATCAGGCACTCGCCCGCAGCATTGGGCTCCTGTTCGAATAGAAAGTTTAATACAAATAAATAATGAATAAATACGCACAAAACAAAACAAAACAAAACAAAACAAAACAAAACAAAACAAAACAAAACAAAACAAAACAAAACAAAACAAAACAAAGCGAAGAGAAGCAATCAATAAATAAATTAATAAACAAATAAAATAAAAGTTGATAAAGAGAATGAAGGTACCGTGCAGAGGGTGGCGCGGGGATAGATCTTGTTGATGACCTCGAAGGGCCATATGCACGTGAAGGAGGGGACGCTGGCCTTGATGCTCTGCGAGGCGCAGTCGGAGATGAACGCGGTCGGGCTCAGGAAGTTGTCTGTGTGCGTGTGCGGTGGTGCGTGTGCGTGTGCGTGTCCAAACAACCAAAAATCAATGAGCACAACATGTCGACAATTTGTGTAGTGCAAGCCGGCGTTGTGGGGAGCGTACAGGCGGGGGTCTCGTCAGAGCGGAGGATGCGATCGTAGGCGCGGTCCTCGTTGATGGAGCACGTGTAGCCCTTCTCGGCCGGATAGGCGTCGGGGTGGTTGCCGCCCAGGTTGTGGCCAATCTCCTGTTTTTGCGTAATAAATAAAATAGTTTAACATTTATAATTAATTCAATATTGAAGTGGAGTACGGGTCGTACGTGGATGGCGCGACGGATCACGAGCTCGGGGTCCTCGTTGGCCTGGCCGTCTACGGTGAACGCGGGCCCAGTACCACAAGCCGAACCGATCTGCACCCAAGTGTGTGGAATGTGAGCCGAATTCCATAATGGTGGCATGTGAACTCAGAATATAAATGAATAAATATAGTTACATAAATGAATAGGTGCTGTTATTAAAAAGATAAATGGATAAATAGATAAATAAATAGTAACGTACCCAGCCGAGACCGCCGACGCCGGCGGGCTGGCGGCCGGTGAGAAGGTGGTAGAGGCAGGCGTCGGTCGGGTTGCCGAACCGGCCCTGCTGGAGGGCGGCCTCGAAGTCGTCGAGCAGCTGGCCGCCGTCCTGGGCGTCGGTGAACGAGCCCGTGGCCTCGACGTAGACGTGGTCGAAGTTGATGCGGATGCCGAAGGCGGTCTCGTAGTAGGTGCTCACGTCCTCGAAGTAGGGCAGGTACTTGGCCTTGATCTGCTCGGCCGACAGCTGCGGCAGGTTGCGCACGATGTAGTTGTCGATCACCAGCACCGCGCTACACACTACCACCACACAATAAGAAACACGTCAACAACACATGCACACACGCACACATGCACATACAACACACACGACACGACACGACACGACACGACACGACACGACACGACACGACACGACACGACACGACACGACACGACACGACACGACACGACACGACACGACACACACGACACACGTGATTTTGGGTGGGTACCTGCGCCTAGGGGCGCGGGCGAGGGCGAGGGCGACGGGTTGGAGGGCTGCGACGAGGGCGAGGCCGCAGGCGAGGCCGAAGCCGACGGGGCAACAACGGGCGAAGCCGAGGGCGAGCTGCCGCCGCCGGAGCAGGACCAGCCCGAGAGGCCGAAGGGCGCGGGCTGGGCCGATCGGATGGTGTAGCCGAAGCGGTGGGTCTGGCCGGCCGGCACGCCGCCGTTCTGCAGGCGCCACGCGGGGAGGGTGTAGAGCGGGACGCCGGCCACGGGCTGGACCATCTCCCAGACCTGGTCGATCTGGGCGCCGGTGGCGGCGTCGAGCGAGAGGGTGACGGAGGTGAGCGGGGCCGACTGGGCGGTGATGAAGGCGTCCCAGACCGAGTACTGGACGCCCGAGCCGTCGGTCCAGCTCGTCTGCTTGGTCTGCGTGATCAGCGGCTTGCATTCTAAGAAGATCATGTAGATGATATTTCAATCGTCAGGTCATCTACTCACTCGCAACTACATCGTATGAACTCGTGTGAAAAAAAAGTCGAACCTCCAGCACCACAATCGTCGTCAGCCCTCCCATTGCGTGTTGTTGCTAACAAGAAAAGATGATGGTTGTGACCCAGGTGAGAAAGAAGAATTCCACAAATGCAAGAGCGCAGTGTGGTGGTTGCATGCAAGGTTAGGGTGTACCTTGGGCAAGCACAAGGCAGCTGGCAAAGGCCAGCAGAAGCACGAGGCACAGGTGAAAGCGCATGATAGGGTTGATGAGCTCCTTCTACTCTTTGTGGTGAGCTCACTTGAAGTTGATGCTGTTGGGGTGTCTGAGGTTGAAGTGGTGAAACACAGGACATGACCCAGAGGCCTTTATACTTGTCCCCCACTCGCCATACAGTACTTGAGGGGCTGTGACATCCTTGAAAAGCTGATGAAAGGCCGAACCCATATGCGAGCGGTGATGTGCTCTTGGTGGGCGAGCGTTGATTGGCCCAAACTGTTGTGTTGCTTGCAAACATGTTGAACGCAGCCAACCTGCATTGTTACGATCACAGTGAACAAATAATGGGGGTCGAAAGCAGAGGTAGAACTTGAGTTTCCATCGAATTCGCCCCAATGGCGTTGGAGTAAAAGAATGACCTACCAACCAAAACTCTAGCTCGTCAGATGCAACCATGTGCTCGCGCAACCAAGTGCGGAGCCACACAGTTTGGGCTTGTGGCCTCTTCTTGACAGCAGAAAGCAAAAAAGAAAATAAATGAAGAAATCGTGTTTTATTTTTATTTTTATTTTATTTTTCAATGGCGACGAAAGACATGTCCGAGGCGGAGGCGGCCTTCCACGCCCACTTCCTGGGGCTGGCCATCGAAGAAGCCCGGGCCGGACTGTCCGAGGGCGGCATCCCTATCGGCAGCGTGCTGATCCGCCGCCGCGCGGAAAAAGGCGGAGATGAAGATCAGGCCTGGTCGATCGATGGCCACGAGGTCGTCGGCCGCGGCCACAACAGGCGAGTCCAGCGACGTAGCGCCACCCTGCACGCCGAGATGGATTGCTTTGAGGCGGCCGGGCGGCTCACGGCCGCCGACTACGCGCGATGCATCCTCTACTCGACCCTCTCGCCCTGCGAGATGTGCTCGGGGGCGCTGCTGCTCTACAAGATTCCCACCGTCGTCATGGGCGAGAACGCCACCTTCCAGGGGCCCGAGGCCTACGTGCGCTCGCACGGCGTGCGACTACTCAACCTGGACTCGGCCGAGTGTCGTCGCCTCATGACCGACTTCATCGCCGCCCACCCCACCCTCTGGAACGAAGACATCGGCGTATGAACAGGACAACATGTTTTCACATTTGACACAACATGTTTGTTGGTAAATGTTCGTATGTGTGCAACATGCACGTCGTCCGTGTATACAATGGCATGGGCAGGGGCCCCATCATGTCCTGTTGTTCTCGCGCCAGAAGAGGATCTTCTTCTTGACCCGGTTCTTGATGGTGGCCTCCTGCCTGCTCTTCGGCGTGTTCCAGGCCGGGTGGAGCGCGCGCCATCTGATGATGATTGAAGTTACAGGTCAGCTGAAGAAGAAGAAGAAGAAGAAGAAGAAGAAGAAGAAGAAGAAGAAGGTGGCGGCTGGAGCGTGGTATACCGATTGATCATCCGCACGATGAGCTCAAAGGCGTCGTTCACATTCTGCCCGGTCTTGGCAGAGCATTCCAGCCACCCGCAGTTGAGCTTTTCGGCGAGGAAGAGGGCCTCGTCCTGGCTCACTTGGCGCTGGCTCTCCCGGTCAGCGTGCGAGCCCAGGAAGACGATCGGCACGGTCGAATCCTGATTCCGCGCAAGAAGAGGTCGCACGTGGACGTGAGTTTGTGTCGTGTGTCGCGTGTGTGCGCTGTGTGTTGCCTATGAACTGTAGTAGTCGATGTGTGTTGTGTGTCGTGTGTGTGTTGTGTGTGTACGTGTGTAGTGCGTGTGCGGTGGTGCGTGTGCGTCCCGCACCTCTTTGATTCGCAGGATCTGAAGACGCAGCTTCTCCAGGGCTTGGAAGGACTCCGGCGATGTTACACTGTTGATCGGGAGATAGAGTGGTGAGTGAGTGAGTGCGTGTGCTTCGGCCGTGCGGGCCTCGCAGTCGAAGGCGAGTGCCGGGCGCGTACCTGTACACGAGGAGAAAGCCGTGGCCGCTCTTCAGGTACTGGTCCCGCAGGGCGCTGTACTCCATTTGGCCCGCCGTGTCCATGATGTCGTACATGCACGGCAGCCCGTCCACCTTTCGTCGCACGCGATAGCTTTCCTCCGCCGTCGGATCGTACTGCAAAATAAATCAATTAATTACTAAATAAAAGAATAAGAACAATATTCTATTTCATGATATTTAAATATAAATAAATAAATAAAGAATAGAATAGAACTTGAATTGAATGAAATAGTAGTATACCTTGGTGAGCATGAGGGAGCCCTGGACGAAGCGCACGCAGATGGCCGACTTGTCGACGCCCGACGCGCCGACGACCACGATGCGGTACTCGTCCTCGCCGCGCCGCTGCCGTCGCTCGAACTCGTGACGGTAGAGGTCCTTGAGCGTGCTGAACGAGCTCAGGTAGTCCGACGCCGACGTCGACGCCGCCGCCGAGTCCGCCTGCGCCTCCGCCGACGCGCCGTTGCCGCTGTTGTGGTGCTGCAGCTCCACGCTGCTGCTCCTGCTCTTCGCGCCCTTGTCCGATGTCGCCTGGGCCTCGCCGCTGCCGCCGCTGCCGATCTCGTCGCCGCCGCTCGTGTGGAAGCCGCTGCCGCTACCGCTCAGCAGGCCCAGCAGGCCACGCTTTCGCGATGGCTTGGGCGACGAGAAGGGAGACGACGCTAGTCGCAGCGCTGACGACGATGACGACGAAGGAGACGACGGACACGAAGAAGAAGAAGAAGAAGTGGTGGTGGAGGCTACCGAAGACGATGACGACGACGATCGTGCACCGGTGTCCTTGGTGGTTGTCGAAGTGGAGGTGGTGGTGGCGGCGGCGGCGCGCTGGACGTCACGTAGGCCGAGGCCGCCCCAGAGACTTAAGGTGATCGACTTCCACAGGCAGTCGGCCTCGCTGGCCTCCTTCCAGAACTTGCACACGACGCACACGACGCCCAGCTCCTTCATGGACAGGTGGCCGAAGATGTGAAGTAGCACCTCGTAGGGCAGCGTCTCGTTCGCGTAGGTTCCATCTATGTAGAGACCCGAGCTGCTGCTGCAGCAGTCGTCGCCGCCCGGGATGCAACAACATTCGCGAGTAGCGCGATGATGATGATGATTCATCGTAGAAGTAGAAGAGATCGGAGATGAAGGGTGGGAGGAGGAGGATGCTGCAGAGCAGCGCGACATGGAGGAGGAGAGGGAAGACAAGGAGCGCTCCTTCCTTCGCGGCCTCCTAATTCGAATCGAGTCGAAAAGTTTCATCTTGCCGATGCTGGCCTTGGTGGCTGCATGCTCGCCGCTGTTGGTCGCCTCGGCGTGTGCCAGTGGATCGACGAGAAAGCCCTCGTCGTCATCGTCATCGTCGTCGCAGACAAGACGACTTCGATCACTCACGACGATGATATCTCTGCCGCTGCTCGATTTGAATGAAGGAAATGAAGAGGAGGAGGAGGAGGCTGCGCGTTGGAGGTCGTCCTCGCTCTTGTTGAATCGGTGCGACGATGCGAAGGCAGTGGCAAAATGAAGGAAAGATCCACTCTTTTTCAGCCTTCTGCTGCGTCGGTCGGGATCCACCGGTATAGTGCCCGAGCTCAGGGAAAGAACTTCATGTGCTCCCCCAGAGCCTCCACCAGCTTGGTGGTCAGCCATTATCGATTGATGGGAAGATTACATTTACGACCTAAAATTCTTGCTAGAACGAGCTTGAGCCACGTGGAATGCGGAATGCCAACATCGCAAAGAATGAGTCTGCAAGAACTCGAAATATGAGCATGGAGTGCCGGAAGCAGTCAACCAATGGGACGGCTAGCCCAACATGTTCTCTTGGAAAAAGCAATGTCGATGTTTTTTTAACCAACCGTGAGCCAGCTAGGATTCTCTCTGGATATGCAACATTCGCGCCAATCGCCTTCTTGCCTTGGACCTCGGCCGCTTACCAGAAAAGGCTCCAACTCTTCGCCTCTCTACAAAGCATCAGCCTCCCACCACCACAACATAGCAATGTCAGCCTCCACCAAGTTCACCGTGCGAGCGGCCACACGCGAAGACGGGCCTTTCTTGGCCTGGGTGCTGCTTCAGGCCGGCCGCTCGCAGCACCCGCGTGGCCTCTTCGAGCGCGTCCTCGGGTCCAAGTACACCGAAGAGCAACTGCTCACCATCCTCACCGACTTCATCCTGTGCATACACCCTCCTCTTGTATTTTTCTTTTATTTTGGATTAATTAGTTATTCAAATCACATCATTCCCTTTGGCCAGGGACGAGTCGCCAGAGGGGACGGGGTCGTTCACCCACTGGGGTGGCTGGTTCGTGGCGCAGACTGAAGATGGAACGCGAGCTGGCGGTTCGTCTTTACTCAGCGCCATGATCGAGTTGGCACACATGGGTGCTGTTTTCGGGACTCAGGCAATCCTCTGTTCGTGTTGCCGTCATGCGTGGCACCAGGTCTCACCGGCTATGCATACAAGGAGAAGCCCATGACCAACTTCTCCGCCCTCCTCGCCACCGTGTTGGCCACCAAGTACGGGTGGGTCGAAGAAGACTTTGCCGGTCTGACGGAAGGGTATGCTGATGATCATCTGCTTCTCGCAGCACTTTTGGCAAGGCCACTCACTTACACAAACATCAATACGCCCACACAGGATGGCGACGATGACCACTTGTATGGTCACTTTGGCCCGTACGTCACCTCTCTCATCAATCAATTGCACCGCTCTCGTTCTCACCTTCATGTGGTTGTGTTTGTGAGTTGCTCAAAACTAGAATCGGACGAGTTCTGGGTTGTGGAGTTTGTCGCCACCAAGCCCGAGTTCCGTAGGCAAGGCGTCAACAACCTCCTCATGCAGGCCGCCCTTTCCAAAGGTTGGACCTTGTTTCACGCGTGTGTCGTGTGTGTCGTGTCGTGTGTGTCGTGTGGTGGGCTGGCATTAATTCTGACATCAATTCTGGTGAGTAGGCAGGCAGCTGGGCTACACGAAGGCACAGATCTCTGTGTTCAGCGACAACATAGCTGCGATCAAGGCGTATGAGAAGGTGGGGTTTGGCGAGTATAACACCGTCACCTCCCCCGCCTTCCTGCAAGTTGTCAACTCTCCCGGCGTGATGAACATGCGCACCGCACTTGAATAAAACAGCAGCACGCACAACAGCAACTCGCTTTCGTCTCGCTATTGTCGACAACGACACGTCATCATCGAGGCTCAGTATCTAAAGAATGTGAATCTATTTTTACTCGCCAATCGACAATCAAAGAGTTGAACGAATCACGCAATGTTCTATTTTTAGATCATTTCGGTTCATTCGTGGTGCCATAAAAGGCCAGCTCTGTCAAAGGTGCAAATGGAACAAACAACAGACACAAGTGTAAGACAGAACTAGAATGACTGAGTACAAGCTCGTAGTGGTAGGCGGCGGCAGTGTGGGCAAGTCGGCGCTCACCATCCAACTGATCAACCACCACTTCATGGACGACTACGACCCGACCATCGAGGACTCCTACCGCAAGCAGGTCGAGATCGACCAGGAGACCTGCCTGCTCGACATCCTCGACACCGCCGGCCAGGACGAGTTCAGCGCCATGCGCGACCAGTACATGCGCACGGGCCAGGGCTTCCTGTGCGTCTTCTCCATCGCCAGCCGCGGCTCGTTCGAAGAGATCTCGTCGTTTCGCGAGCAGATCCTGCGGGTCAAGGAAGACGACCATGTGCCCATGGTGCTGGTGGGCAACAAGTGCGACCTGGAGCACCTGCGCGTGGTGCCCACGTCGGAGGGCGCCGACCTGGCCAAGTCGTTCGGGTGCAAGTACCTCGAGACGTCGGCCAAGGCGCGCATCAACGTCGACGCCTGCTTCTTCGAGCTGGTGCGCGAGATCCGCAAGGCCAACCCGGAGAACAACCCCCACGACAAGGGCTCGAAGGGTCGGGGCAGCCGCAGCGGCCTGGGCCGCATCAAGCTCAAGCAGCAGTGCTCCCTCTTCTAACCACCTTCTTGACACTACACATCACACACGAACGCTTTCAGGAGAGTTGTACATAAAATCGCGAACGAAACAACGAACATCAATCAGTTTCAAGACTCATACACGCCTCCGCTTGGTTTTTACTCTTCTGATTGCTCGGAATCGTCATCGTCGTCGTCATCTCCGGTTGTCCGTACAGCATCGATCCTCGCCCGGGCGTCGGTGACCTCCTCGCGCCAACAGTGCACTGAGCAGTAGCGCCCCAGCATGGGCAGCCCGTCAAACATGATCGGCAACAGCACTGCACGAGTCGTGTGTGTGTCGTGTGTGTGTGCGTGCGCGCGCGCCGTGGAGTTCATATGTCATATGAAGCAAAGAATGATCAGCGAAGAGTTGGGCGAGTTGGTTGCGTATGAGTGGTACCAAAGACGTTGGCACCGGCCGCGCCCCAGAACAGGCGCCCGCAGCCGCTGCAGTGGCGGCCGCCCCTCCTCAGCTCCCTCTGCAGTTCTTCCGGCAGCGATTCTGTGTGTGTGTGTGCGTGTGTGTGTGTGTGTGTGTGTGTGTGGTGTTTGTGTGTGTCGTGTGGTCCGCCCGGGTGGTATCAGCTAATTGCGCATGACGTGTGCGGCGTGTGCGGTGGTGTGTGGCAGTACCCAAAGGTTGAGCGGCTGGTTCGGCAGACCGAGCGAGGTTGGTGGCGGCCACGGACAGGCAGATATGCAACAGCGACGGCAGACGCGGCTGGACGAAGACCTCGAGCTGCCCGCCCTGGTCCGTCAGCCTGCACTCGGGCTTCTCGCTGGGGTCGTCGGCGTGCACCGCATCTCGCGTAGATTCCACCATCCCTGGAGAGGAGGCACCACATCAGCGTGTGCAGTCGTGTTGTGTGCGTGTGCAGTCATGTTGTGTGCGTGTGCGGTCGTGCTGTGTGTGTGTGTGTGTGTGTCGTGTGTGTGTCGTGTGTGTGTCGTGTGTGTGTCGTGTGTGTGTATGTGTGTGTGAGGTGGGTACCCTCCTTGCGCGGGCCAGGGAGAAGCACAGGGCAGTAGCCGCCGCGATAGAAAGGTGACCAAACTTCTCTGAATTCGCGCTGTACAAAAACATGTTAATGTTCGTCATCTTGCACAACATGTTGAATAAATAATGTGTAAATGTGGCATGCATGTACATGCACAAGAGGAGTACCGCGGATTTTTGCATGGGCAGAAGAACGGTGTAGGGTGTCTCCACAGTGGCGACCACCTTCCATTTCTCTTGCACACGCTGCCATATTATCACCCAATCGGTCATGAGAACACGCACACGACACACGACACACACGACACACACGACACACACGACACGATGGAGGCGAAGTGCAAACCTTGAGCGTGAGGACGCCTTTGTCGTCGCAGTCGGTCCTGTCCTGGTTCCATGTGATGGCGCCCTGAAAGTCGAGAAGAGGCGCCAGCGCCTGGTTCTCCCTGATGATGTAGTCCACCACAAACTGCAGCCACTGGACGTAGTTGTAGAACTTGGAGTTTCCCTCCCAGTGCAGAATTGTGCATGTCTGCTACAGCCACCATATGCCACATGTTATTATACCAACATGTAGATACAACATGTGTAAATAAAGCTGCATATATCTAATCTACATATGTCTGTCGCGTATGAGCGTACCTTGCCAGGCTTGTTTTTGAGCTGCCAAGCATTCCAGCACGATGGTACACCTGCATGACGTATGTACCGTGCAGTTTTCACAACTTAAGTTGTGAAGAGAACACAACACTGGTGAAGGTGGTGAAAGGTACCCGTCCAGGCCGGGTTATCGTATTTCTCTTGGACTCGAGCTCCGGCTGCGGTGCCTCGTTTCCCAAAGACCTGCAGCGTGCGCCTTTTTAGTTTGTCGACAACAAACAACAAAGAGCGAAAGAGAATGAAGAGGGGGCAGTACGAGGTGGTCGAAAGAGCCCTCGTCGCCGTCGCCATAGACGTTGTTGCGGCGCGAGGCCACGTCGTTGAAGCGCGCAACAAACTCATCGGCCAGGCGAGGTCGAATGTTCAGCTCTCCCTCAAAGTCCGTTTCATAGCCCATCTTTTGATTTTGCTTCTTCCTTCCGGCGCGCGGATCTTCCTGTTGTTGGTGTTTCCAGGAAAAGAAAAGCAAATAACAAATTCACAAAAAAAGCCCGGTTGGTGCGGCCATTGTGCGTTCGCTGAACCTGGCCTCGCGGGCGCTGGCGACACCCCACGCACGCACCGGCCGTTTTTACTACCAGAGCCAGCACGACGCGAACGACAGGGAATACACGAATAATAAATAAAGTCTGTGATTTTATCATTAAAAACAACAACGGTGTCACACACAATCATTGGGCGCTCATGCCGGGCGGCGGGGCGACCTGGAGGCGGAAGGGGCTGTTGACGATGGGTCCCTGGGTCTTGTGCTCGATGCGGATCGTGTAGACGCCGGGCACGGGCGGCCTGAACACGACGTCCAGCGTCGAGGCGCTGGCGGCGCCCGCGGCCAGCCGGCCCTCGACGTCCTGGCCCTCGGGTCCCTCGATAGTCACCGCAAAGTCGGCCGCCGTCGCGCCGGCCACGTCGGCCAGCAGGTTGGTGCGGCCGTCGTCGGCCGTCGACTTGGGCGTGACGCTGAACTTGGCCTGCGGCAGCGGCGCGCCGCCCATCTTGTCCATCAGCTCGCGCTGGCGGTCGGTTCCGATCGGCACCGTGAAGGGCGAGTACGCGGATGTGGCGGTCGGACCAGGCGCAACGGCGACGGT